CACACCTCCAGCACTTCCAGGCAGCTTAGGGATCCAGAAATCTGGAGTAACCAATAGTCAGTTTCCTCAATCAGAAAAAGGAATGGTCACACCTCCAGCACTTCCAGGCAGCTTAGGGATCCAGAAATCTGGAATAACCAATAGTCAGTTTCCTCAATCAGAAAAAGAAATGGTCACACCTCCAGCACTTCCAGGCAGCTTAGGGACCCAGAAATCTGGAGTAACCAATAGTCAGCTTCCTCAATCAGGACTTGGAATGGTCACACCTCCAGCACTTCCAGGCAGCTTAGGGATCCAGAAATCTGGAATAACCAATAGTCAGTTTCCTCAATCAGAAAAAGAAATGGTCACACCTCCAGCACTTCCAGGCAGCTTAGGGACCCAGAAATCTGGAGTAACCAATAGTCAGCTTCCTCAATCAGGACTTGGAATGGTCACACCTCCAGCATTTCCAGGCAGCTTAGGGACCCAGAAATCTGGAGTAACCAATAGTCAGCTTCCTCAACCAGCACTTGGAATGATCATACCTCCAGCATTTCCAGGCAGCTTAGGGACCCAGCAATCTGGAGTAACCAACAGCCAACTCCCTCAACCAGGACTTGGAATGATCACATCTTCAACATTTCCAGGCAGCTTAGGGACCCAGCAATCTGGAGTAACCAACAGCCAGCTCCCTCAACCAGGACTTGGAATGATCATACCTCCAGCATTTCTAGGCAGCTTAGGGACCCAGCAATCTTCAACATTTCCAGACAGCTTAGGAGGTCAACAGTGTGGAATAACAAGCAGTCAGTGCCCTAATCCTAGCCTGGGAATGACCCCGGCACATTTTCCTAGCAGCCTAGTTGGTCAACCGTGTGGAATATCAAGCAGTCAGTGCCCTAATCCTAGCCTGGGAATGACCCCGGCACATTTTCCTAGCAGCCTAGTTGGTCAACCGTGTGGAATAGTAATTGCAGGAAGCTATGCCAGCCTTGGAGGGATGCCTTTGTTCAATGCAAATGTACAGGCTCTAAGGACACCAGCTCCACCACTGTTTGTAAATAACTGCAGTAGATCAGACTGTGGTATGCCAGCATCTGGCTCAGAAATGCAAGTAGGTAGTAAAAATCTATTTAACTCTATCAGTG